AGCTTTAGGTTATTGGCTAATGGTGGTTGGTTCACTCAGATTAGCTTCTGTTTGGTTTGGTTTCTTCAACATTTGGGCTCTTCGTCTCGCCGTCTTCTCTCAGACCACCAGTTCAGTTCCTTCCTTCCCCTCTAAATATTGCCAACACTTTAATCTCCATTTCAATTTGTTCTTAATCGATTCAGTTTCTGGGTTTCGTTAACATAGAAACCTATCGATAATTTTAAGATTTCTTCTATCAATTGACTTCCTTAGTCACTGAGATTCTAGTCATGTAAGAATAGCATCATTGAGTTAGTGGGGGCTATGAAGGGCACGTTGTTTTGTTGTTTCAAGGAGAAATGGTTTAATGTCATGTTCAGAGGAACACAAATTCATCGATCTGATTTGTGAGGAAATTTAGGACCTTTGAGTCTTCCAAGACGGCTCGAATGTGGGATCCATAAAGCTCTGAGATTTAGAAAGATAACTGAGGAATTAGAATTCTTGATTTGATCTTGTTGTTTGCTAGTACATTGCATCTGGTAAGTCAATGCTTGATCCGGATTCTGTGAACATATTTATCAAGCTGCTTTTTTTTGTTCATGTTCCTTTAGCTGCAAAGTTGAGGTAGTTGGGACTGAAAGCAAACGCATGTCCAGGAAGTGATATGAGGTTTGAGGCAAATAGTTTATGTTTTCATGATCCTCTAGTCTTAAAAATACGTGTCATGTGTTTATTATTACGAATTTTTTGGTTTCTTGGTCATTATGACTTCTCTGCTCGCAAGTTGAGATTATAAATAAACAGATAAGGGTTCTTCCCAAGACTTTCTAGGAGCTACATTGATGTGAATGGTTGAGTAAGATAGCTGTTTAATTCAATTACATTCTCTTAGTAATTACAAGTCATAGGATTCTTTATAGATCGAAGAGGTTTGTAGCTGTACTGAGTTCAACTTAGGGAGTAACTTTCTAGTGAGCAGAGCAGTCTTGTTTCTGGTCAAACATATTTCTCATTGGATCTTGTTCATTGAATCCCTGTGGTATAAAACTTTATGAGAAAAATGTTCTGTTCCATAAGATGCATGCTTTCTGATTGAATTTGTATACATAATATGTAGGAAAAATAGATTAATATCATAAGAATAGCAACATATCCAAGAAAGATATGCTAGGAAATGGACCTAAATATCAGGAAGGGGAAAAGTACTTGGATCTAGAATTTGGTTGGCTTTGATAAGAGTGTACAGAATCCAATGCAAATTTTCTTAAATTACTGGAAGTAAATCAATGACTAGGTGAAGTGTATCAGATGCTGTAGTTGTATTAGAACAAAAGCAACTTGATGTTTTTCTTTTCCTTTTGTAAATTGTGGTTCATGAATTTGTCGGTTTGCAGCGACAAGGGGAGTGTTATGGAACATTATTTTTTTCCTGTGACTGTAAGGTCACCGAAATGTTTAGTTTATCGATTCTTATAACAAAAAGTAGTAATAACTTTGCTTCACATAGTTAGAGTCTCTAACTTAGCCCCGTTCTCTTGACTTGAAATGTTTCTTTCTGTTTAACTGTTTTGCAGTGAGTGAAGTTCATGGACGTACATTTGGAGTATGGACACTCTTGACCTGCACTCTCTGCTTTCTTTGTGCATTCAACCTCGAAA